TAAAACAACAATTCTGGGGAAGAGAGGCATTTCATTCCAATGACTAGTCTCAGCTGAGGTGTGGAGTTATTTCAGTATTTGCAAGTGAAGTGTTAGTGGTTTAAGGGGGAGTCAGTGTTGTTCAGCATCATTACATGTGGCAAAAACAGTGAGAAATAACACACAGTCAAATCCCACATTTAAGAACTGCTGCATTGGGTAGGAGCAAGCTATGAGAGAAACACTCCCAGTTGGCTTTTCACTGCCACCAAGACCCTAGAAGCAGCCAAACATATCTCCTCTGTGAGGAAGACAAGTAGCCGCTGAGCTGTCTTGTATACTTCCTGCCATATATTTGCTGTTCAAGGTACGGTGGTGCCCCCAGTAGAAGACTCAAAGTAGGGTGGATGTATAGCATGAGTAATTTAATAGATAATCTTGATATAAAAGAAGTAGATGCTGGTCATCGTGAGTCTGCATCTCTCATCAACTCCCATCAATTTCTCATATCCTGGAAACCACAGACCACTTTCTCTGGATAGAAGCCAAGGCAGGATACAATTTCTTGCTGACATTAACATACACACAGTATTTTGTTAGAAATACAATCTTTGTGACTTCAGTTCTAGAAGAAGCCATGAGTTCATCAGTCTCACACTGCAGTGGCCTGGAGCAATTTACATAAATGATGAGTGAACCTTGCTGAACCTCATGGGATAGAGGTGTTAATGGTGGCTTTGGCCCAGACAGCAGAGGCCAAGGAAGTGTTCATTAATGAAGTTTGATGCTGGCACTGAGTCCCTCAACACAAAGAGGCATAAAAGAGCAGGTAGCTTTGCACCTCCTTGCTTTACAAGAAGACAGAAAGAAAGCTCGTCAGAATCCTAATTCAAGCAACTATTAACACAAGCAGGTAGCTGCATCTTCCTGTTTCGAAATGTTTCTGGACAAATCCAGTTGAAGATGTCCCTGCTCTTGAAGAAGGGTTGAACTAGATGACCTTTAAAAGGTCCTATCCAACACTAACTATTCCATGAAATAAAACAGGAGTTTTTCATTTTTTTCTAGTTTTCCCTTCCACAAGGTGTTTTGGGAGTTAATGGGAGCATGGACTCAGTTCAGTTTAGTTCAGTTCTTTCCTCTGAAGTACATGAATATGAATAATTTGTTTTATTTAGTGTTATATTTTAGTTTAATGGCTTGAAAAACACGTTTTGGTAAGAAAAAATGCTGTCAGCAAGGGGAATATCAGCTCTCTAGGTTTCTGTCCATGAAATCTTGCATGCTGAACTCAGACCCAGAGATCAGCACTATACTGGCGCTGAACTACCGTGATTCTCCACAGACAGTAGAAACCCTGAGTTTCTTTTCCAGGAGTCTCCAAATGGCTCTCACATATTGGAGCTGGCCTCACAAAGCAGCAGTTAAGGCAGTGAAAGTACAGAAAGTGCCATGCAATTTTCACAGGAGAAAGCTGGAACACAGAGGGGTCAGAGGGGTCAGAAGCACCTTAGAATGAGTTAGGTGATTATTCTGAATTGCAGAGATCTTTGTAAACACAAGTGTGACCACACTGTTGTTTTACCAGAATTACAGCTTGTGGAGGCTCCAGAGCCAAAAGCTACCATGGTGTGGAAGGAGCCTCCAGGGTGTAAGATTTTCCTCCATTTTAAATTAATAGGAAGGGCTTTTCCCATAGTGATTGCACCTCCATTTTGCTGTACCCCAGTTCATATAACCAGTTAGGTTGTTGGCTGTCCCTCCCCTTTTTACCTTTTATGCCCCTTCCCTAGAAAGTTCTCCCTTCCCTGTTCCCCCGTTGGCCCCAGTTTGGTGCAATCCTACACCCAACACTACAACAGCTGACTGTTCCTGTTCCTAACTGGGACAGGAGTTGAAGAATAGGTGTTTGGCCAATCTGCCCAGGCAATAGGCATGCAATCAAAACAAGCTTATTTTCTTCAGCAGTTCTGGGTAGTGCTATCTTTCTCCTTACTTTTGAGGGTAACTCAGAGGGGATTCAACCACATTTAGCAGCTCCAGTTTAAAAGCAAATCTGACCCACTGAAGCACAATGCCTCACTGTAAGTTCCAGCAGAGAATTTTTTCCTCTGTTTCAAGGAGCCTTTACAACAATTTTCATAGCTATTATGTGGTACCAGACAGGAGCCACCCCTGAAGTACTCAGTGAGTGCCAGCTCCATCACCCAGATAAAGTATATGCCAGCAACTATCCCTTAGAGCTCTATTAAACAGGAGTCTCCCCACTCACCTGCATACAGCCTCCAGGACAGCCAGAAGAAAACAGCAGGAAAACAATAATCACTCCAGAATTACATGAGCCACATCCATTCCTGACTCTGCACAGCACAGAGACCTGCAAGAACCCAGAATTCACCTCAATCCTCTTGAACTGCCTGCTACCACTACCCAGAAACATGACTTGGAAAAACAAGCATTCCATGCTCTCAGCTTGGAGGAACCATTGTTTAATTTAGGAATTAGTCGCTGTGGGAAGCAAGGGGTTGCTGAGCCAACAGGAGTGCCAGCTGCACTCTCAGCTTTACAGCTGCAAGCATCACTCTTGCTCATTCCACTCTGCCAGCAAGATTGAGAGATAAAGGTTCTTTTCTTTGCTCAACACTCAAGACAGCCTTAAGAGCCACACTATCAGCAGAAAATCAGCCCTGTGCAGCCAATATTGCAAGATTTCTGGGGATACAATCTGAAAGCAGGAAGGAGACTGATGTAGCTTTAACAGTCTGCTACAGTTTCCATACAAGCATAGATCTGAAGAGCCATCATCAGAACCAGTGGATTTCCACAGTATCAGCTCAGACTGATCTTGTAGGGTCATCTTTGAATTCTCCCTGGCTTTCCTAAAATGAACACCATTTAAGGCCTGGAGCAGGATGTTACTTTCCAAGACAAAGCAATCACTTTATTATTATCAATAGCTGTCATGCACCCAAATAGAGCAGATAAGCACTGCTGTACTTCAAAATCTTCACTGAAAAGAAAGGTGACTAGGAAGAACATCCCCATTTGAAACTGTCAATGTAGCTTGCAAGCTCAGGCAGAGACTGTTTTGGCATGAGCTTGAGTAGCATCTGCTATACAGAAGCTCAGGGGCCAAGTCCAGACAAAAACCATAAACCAAAGCAAAGAGTAAAACTGCCAGTGAGTCCAGCTCTTGATTCTTTCTGTACAAGCGCATTCTTTCCTACGGCCTGAAAGCTCCACTTTGCACTGGGCAAAACCATATGCCCTGCGAACATTACAGATTCAGAAAGATCCTCTTGTCAAGAAGATAACTTGCCTTCTGTTCCTGTAGTGGTACTGCTTAACTGCATAATGCAGCAGTAGTGCTCTTCCACATCAGTGCTCTCCCCAGTACCACTCCAGCCACAAACCACTCCAGCCTCTCGGTATCCAAAAGGAGCCAGAAATGGCTCCTCTCCAAACAAGCACTGCAGCACTAAAAGAGTTGTTCTTGCAGCACATTTTACAGGAAAGTTTGACCCTCATCTATACTGCTAGGTAATTCTACCTTTAGGGAGAGCACTTAAAACACAGCTCTCTGGTTAAGCACTCTGCTCCACAACTGTTTATGCTAGGAAAGTGTTACCACTTCTCAGGGCTCTCTAGGCTCAAGGTGCTGGAGCTGCTGCTGCAAATAATCATAGAATCATAGAATGGTTTGGGTTGGAAGGGACCTTAAAAGTCGTCTCATTCCAACCCCCTTGCCACGTCCCTTAGAGACTCCAAAGCTAAGGTACCAGACGTAATATCAGCCAGCCATGTCCCCAGACACCTGATAGCTGTACCCATCTCCTTGCACCCTCCATGATCCACTCCACCCTCTGCTGGTTTATCCTTACCATGCCTGAATTTTTAATGTGGTACCCAGGGTAGACAGAGGAAGCTGAACCAGACTTGGCCCTGTGAAAAATGATGTTCACTAGCCTGATAAATTTGAAAAGGTTTCATATAAAAAAAAAGACAGTAGGAGACAAAGATAATAAAGCAAAGGGTTAAAACAGCCAGGTGCTTGGCTCTCTGCCAAGGGCACGCCTGGTGCTTTGGAAACACCCTTTATATACCATTCCTGCCACATAGATTTGTGCATATCCAAACTTTACCACAAACTGTTCTGCATGGCCACTCCTCAGGTCCGCCTTCTTAGAGCACGTGCATTTGATTTTAATTTCTCTTTTATCATCTTTTTATTTGGGCTTGGTTTCTTTCTTCTACAGGCAGTGAGCCTTGATAGAGAAGTTGAGTAGCCTAGGCCCCATTCACCTGTTCACTGGATGTTATCTCACTTGTCCAGGTAGGACCTAACCCTAACGTCCAAAATTCTTCTTGACCTATGCCTAAATCCTAGCTAATAGCAGGAGAAAAAAAGGAAAAGACATAGCAAAAGCTATTCTAACATTATACATAAAACATTCATCTTAATACTTGCAAAAAGCCAATATCACAATATGCATTTATAACAGCCCCACTCACACAGCAGGAAAGCTCAGAGTCCTAGGACAGAGATCCAGGTACAAGGAGAACCCACCCTTCTCCCCAGCCTGCTGCTCCCTCCTTTGGAAGGGAGATGTTTGCTTCAAGGCTGAGCGAACAGCTTTGAGTTCCTGGCTTTGAGCACTGCTTCATGCACCGGCACGAAGGGCTGCATGACCCACGCAGGAAAGGGATGAGCAGTAACAGAGCAGCGGGGATTCGGCAGGAGCAGTGCAGCCGTTTGCTGCGAGGGACCGAGTGGGGCTGCCGGGTGCTGCAAGGAGCCGGGGCCGCAAAGCGCTGTTGCCACCTGCTGGCACCAACACAGAGCAAAACCAGGTTGGCTTCCAAAAGCTCTTATCTGCCCCAGAGACATCAGTGTCCCCTGACAGCTACACCAGCCCACATTTGAACCCCTCTGTCTCTTGTGCTCCTGAACCAGCTTTAGCAGTTTCAGAAGGAATTGCCATGCTAACCCCACATGACAATCACCCGTACGAAAGACTTACCCTAAGCTGACTAATTGCTGCTCCTGTGTGTATGTTCAGAGTTGGCACATTAATTAAGAGGCACTTTTTTTGGTAAGACTTCTGCCTTTTGGCTTCATGTCGACAGTGGCTGAATTAATGACTGTTCATGTGACAATAGGTGTCTGTGAGGCACCACAGACAAATGAACATTAAGTAACATACACAGGAAGTCAGACAGTTCACCCCTTGGTCCTTGCTACAGTGGAACCAGAACAGAACTTCATCCTCCTTCCTTTCCTGCTTCACATGCAGCTTTGATTTCTCTGTCTGTTCACAGATCTCCTAAGTAAAGGTGTCATGCTGGAATAAGGTTATGAGACAAGGTGGTCTGATTTTGTGGGGCTAGAAGGCTGGTCCTGCAGGTATCAACTCAAAGCTACAGCAACCCAAGGATCCTACAGGCAAGAGCTCTGTGAGGTACAGTTGTTTTAAATACAAAACCAGAATTTCATTGCAGGATTTCATACTCTATCTATTTGATGATTTCATTCAAGTACCTCAAAGTGCTGGTTGATTTGATCAGGGGCAAGGAAACAGAAGGAAGGGAGCTACATGGGGAAGGCAATGCAGGAGGGAAGAGGAATGTGGGGGAGCTGCTGGCTGCTGCCCAGATCCGTGTGTTCACGCAGGACACTTCCCAGGGCTGCTCCTCTTGCTACATCTCACCTGTGCTTCAGAGCAGCACCAGCTCAGCATTACACGCAGCAGGTTGTGATAAAGGCGTTGTGTGTCAGCGCCAGGGAAATGCTGTGCGTGGTTCGTTCAATTCAGGGAAGAAATGCAGGACCGGCTTCTTGGCAAGAGGCTGAGAAAATGGTTTTGGTTTTTTTGCTTCCTTTGAAAAACGTGAGTCAGCCACTGACATTACAGCACCTGAAGGAAAACCCAAGCCCGCAGATGCAGCGCTGAGAACGAGGCCATGAGGGAGCTTCAGTCTCCTCGCCTCTCCTCCTCCTGCTCTGCCGGCTCCCCCGAGGGCCTGGCATCCAGCGGTGAGGGCACCGGCAGGCCTCGGCGGGGCGCAGACAGCCCCTCACCCTGCAGCAGCCAGGAGAAGAGCTGAGGGCGGGCCTGCCTGGCTTCACGCGGAGGGCTCCCGGGCACAGCCCCGTAAGGACTGGCGAGAGGAAAGCTCCTTGAGGCTGGGCTGGGAAGACAAAAGCGAGTGTCCCACTACCTCCTCCCCGGCGGTCACGGGGCCGCGCTGGGCCGGGCAGCGCCCGCGCCTCAGGACTCCCCGCCCCAGCCACCCCCGCGCTCCCGCCCCGCCTCTGCGCGCGCAGCATTCTGGGTATTGCAGTCCAGGAACTAGGTTCCACTGCCGGGTGGCTCATCGTGAAAACTACATCTCCCAGCGTTCCTGGCGGTGCGGCCTCCCCCACCGCCGCGCCTTGTTGTTGCGCCCGTCCCGGCGCTCCCCCTGCGCCTCGCCTGGTGTCCCGGGGCAGCCCAGAGCGGCGGCGGCTCCGTGCGCCAGGGCCCGGTATGGCGCTCCGGACGGCGGCGCAGCGCTGCCCGTAGGTGCGGTGGCTCTCAGGGCCGGGCGAGCCTGCGTGGACCGGGCGGGGCGGCGATGCGCCATGGAGGGACTCTGAGGGTGCCGGGCGGGGCGGGGGGGGGGCGCGCTGGGTTGCCCATGATGGCGAGGGGAAGGCGGGAGGGGCGAGATCTCTGAGGTGTGAGGTGGGACTAGGTGTCCGTGACGGGAATGGGAGTAGAGGGCAGCTGTGGGGCCGCACCATGACGAGGGATGCTGGGGACGGGGGCCCTGGGGAGGGCTGGGCCGAGGGGGCCGGGCTGGGTTGGGGCTCAGCTGTTGCTGGGGTGGAGGGAAGGGCCGCTGAGGAGAACAGAACTGGGGAGCACCGGAGAGGGAGCGGCCGGAGTAGTGCAGGGCTGGGGTTCCCTGGAGAGGAAGGTGTGTGCTGAGCATCTGAGCTTTGCCAGTGGCTGTACCGGGGACAGTGGGAGCGGAGGAGTGCTCTCAGAGAGAGGATTGCTGACGAGGAACAGGAGAAAAGGAGTGTCTGAGGACGATGCCGTGGGCTGTGCTGGGGAAGATGCTGGGAGTGGTGGTGAGGCAATAGAACTGTGGAGTTAGCTATAATACCGGGGAGCATGCTGAGGTGATGCTGAGGGAAAATGGAGCCTGGGACTTGGTCAGTGTATAACATTAGAATGAAGTTCCTTGATACACCTGGAAGGCATTTCTTTAAAGAATTGAGAAATGCACTGTGCAAGGAGGGCCTAGCATACTTAGAACGTGTTGGCAGGTTCAAGGAGCACTTAAGATCGAGGCCATCTTCAGGGGAATGAACCAGCTTCCAAGAACCTCACTTGAGAGCTATGTGTTCTTGCTTATCACAGTTGACCAGTGGAGAAATCACTTTCCCGCTGTGCTGCAACATCCTGATCCTCCCTGATTCTGCAAAAAAAAACATTCTATAGGCATGGCTCACCTGAGAGAATTTGCTAGCCAGGTAAGTGGTGATTAAAAATTTGTTTTAAAACTCTCTTCAAGGGTTTGCATAATGGTGTTTGTTCCTGATACAAGGATTTCGAACAAATAACCAGAAAATCACTTTTTGCCACTCTTTATCTCTCTTGCACAGGTCTCAGCTTACTCCTGTTAGCTGACTGACCTATGTCTCTGTGTGCCTGGTGTTGGGCTGATAGTGTTGTGTTGCCAGCCATACAGAAAGTGAATTCTTCACCCACTGTGGATCCTTTCTCTAGGATTAACTGTGTTCTTTTTAGGGAGTCGGGAGTTGTTGTCTTTTTGAGTATTTTTGGAAGGGAAAGTCTAAAAACAGGAACAGAAAAACTGTGTATACTGGCTCTGCCAGGCACATCTTCCTAAAGGGTTCATGGCATTAATCTCAGAAAAATGGTTCTTGTAACCTTGCTGCATAATAGGCAGTGATATTTGATACCGGGTCATAACTCTTCCAAGAGATCTCAGCCTCCATGAATGCGTTTAAATTCTGCTGTTGTGATGACATTTTCATAAGAGGAGAGTAGAAAGATGATGCCAGGATTTGTGACTAAAAGCTAAACCACTTTAATAGTATTGCATCTTCTTCCCTCTGAATTCGGTTGTGCGGTGTGTTTGATGATTGGCAGATGTCAATACTGAACATAGGTCTTCTTAAACCTTTGTTTTGTGAGTTTGGGGGCATTATTCTGTTCTGCTCCTAGGTGTAGAATTGCTAAAAGCTTTAGTGGTTTGAGCTAATGTTTTCTTTGAACCTTTACTGATTTAAAATTGATTTGCAATGCACGTTAGTTGCATGCTGTCTTTCACATCAACTGTTTCCCCAAAGTGTATATGGAATTAAATGTACATATAATGCCTGGCTGAGTCACTGTACAGGGAGAGAAAGGGAAGGATGCTGTCTGCTTGGGGCTGAAAACTGAGTTCTGTAGCTGCAGAGGAGGTTGCTCTGAAGCTTTTTTTGTACACAGCATTCCCTCATGAAGCTTATCAGCATTCTAGTGGTTTCAGCTCTGAATTTGTTATGGAAATATTAGGCATTCTCAAACCCCTGTCATCCCTTGACTCTCTTGTCTGGTCTTGGAATAGGAAACCAATCTGTGTTGTCCATTCCTCCAGTCTTTCTAGGAGTCCTTGGTGGAACCTCATCATCTGTGTAACTGAGGCTTACTGGGAGAGAAGTAGGAACTGACGTGAAGTTTTCTTCACTGGGATTTAGGGAGTAGTGGGAGGTGCTGTGAAAATCAAGAGACTTAAGAATTGCATTGGGATGTTAGAGGCTTGACTTGTTTTTAATTCTCAGTTCTGGTACTGATAAGCAGAGTTACCTTAGGCCACTGCCCAGGCTGCTCTGCCTCTGTGCTTCCATTTCCCTGCCCAGCTGGTTGTCTCTTCTCTTTCCTTGGCTCCCTTGTGCTGTGAACAGACAGCACTGCAGGGCTTTGGTCTTGGTCTGAAGCTCTATCTGCCAGGTGATGTATTTGTGTTAGTTACTATGTTTAAAGGTCTGATCTGAGCTCTGTTTCTAGATTTGCTGTTCCTCATGTGACCTTGGAGAAGCCATTTAGGTTTTTTTGGCTAAGTAATGCTTCACCTCCTGAAGCAAAAGAATACTGTCTGTGCAGAGAGCTGGGAGTCTGACAAACACATGTGTTTCAAAGTGTTGAACACAAACTTCCTTCTTTTCTGTACTCTAGAAATTCAAAACTATCCCAGGTTTTGGCAGTTGCAGAGAGCTGTTCACAGATTTCATATAGACAGGGAAGCTTTCAAATGGTTCCAGATACAAAGCTGGTTTCACCAAAGAGACTGTTGATAGCCCAGTGGTAACTGTTCAGCATGCTGGGTGGGAAGTTGGGGAGCAGAGGAGGCAATGAGGGAAAGAGAAGAGCAGAAGAGTTCTATTAAAACCAACTTCCTTCTTCCACTGTGTTTGGCAGAGCAAAATTATGTTTGTTTGGTTGGAAAGTGCTCCAGTCAGAAATAACACTAAATGTAGCTGTAGTTCCACATAAACCTTTTGAACACATTCTGTGTCAGATTCAGCTCATAAAGTATGGTGGCCTTGGCAATGTTCTCCCATAGACCTCTCCCATATAGAACAGTGATTCCAATTCCAGCCTGCCCCACATTAAGGATTTCTCATTTCCAAAAGGGTTTAAGCACCCCTCAGTGTTTTATGCAACAACTGCAGGCATGATTCTTGCTCTTGAATATTTTGAGAGTAAGATCCAGCTGGACATGGCCCAGAGAGAAGATCGTCAGATAGTTCAAGTGGTGTTTGCTTCTGTTCCCAATATGCAGCTTATCTTTCCAGGCAGTAGTTTTGAAATGAGAGCAGATACTTTCCCTTCTTCTCTCGTACTTATGCACATCTTCTCAAAGACTGGATATCATGTCTCCACAGCTGGAGGTGGCAGAGCTGCCAAAACCATTCTTTCCCCATGAAGCAGCTGGTATTACTGTCAGGCTTGTCTCATAACGCACTGTGATTCCTAATTGCTGATGGCTGCAGTGAATTGGTCCATTTTGAAACATGGTATCATCAGTCAGGATGGCAAACACTCCCACACCTGTCAGGACAGAGCATCCTTCTTTCCTGTGCTGTGAGATTGGATCCCGGAGGGCAGAAGTGAAGCACATTAGTAGGAAATTGTCATCATCCTTCTCATAC